TACTCCAAGTGCATTGGAAAGCCACTGAAATATTTTAAGCTGTGGTACTTGATTCACACAGTATAAGTGCTTCTTTTGACTGCTTATAGAAACACATGGATGTAGAGGAGTAGGTAGATAAGGCTGGAGCTCAGGAGGAGAAATTAAATGTACTGCAATAGTCCAGGTGAGAATAGAGATGGACAGTAGTAGGATGTACTGTTGGAGCTAGCAAGAAATGAAGAAATGTAGGATTTATTTAGAGAGAACTTGAATGTGGGATGTGCATGTGAGAGTTTCAGTGATGGAAATGAGAGTCAAGAAACATGCATGGCATGCACAGTCAGTGGATGACAGGGCTGTTAGTGAAATGGTGAAATCAGAAGAAGAGGCGGTTGGAGAGGAAGTCTGGTTGCTAAGATCAAAAGAGTTTGTGGAAAGCTGCATAAGTCTGGGGTAGACATGAACAGGTACAAAACGGAATGGAGAAAATCTCGTCTTTCAAAGAAATGGAAAATCATGAAACTGCAGTTCCCTCTCAGAGGAAATGTGAAAAGGACATTTACTCTACAAGAATGGATGGTTCAATACCTTTGTTAGCTTTTTCCAGTGTTGTAATTTCATGGAGACCACAATACCTCCTGTTTTTCTCTCTAGTCTCATAAGCACATCATGGCAACACGGCTAACATCCTGAAAGTGTCACTTTGTATAAACCAGTCCAGCCACACCTGCGCTTAACTCTCTGTATGGAATTCCCTTAAAGGAATGAATCCACGTTCTTTGGTATTCTAGGGTAGGACTTTGGACTTGGCTGCTGTTTTTAACACCCTCTTCCAAGTTGCGGCTCATAGTTTCTCTGTTTTTCCAAACGAAGAGGTTGGTTGCGTAGATGTTCTCTAGGCTTCTTACAGTTCTCCTGGTCTGTAATTCTACTGGCCCAGCATAGTGAAAATCAGCCACATAACTCTGGCTCAATGGGTATATATGTTTGTTTTTCCTTAGCTAAGTTCTACCTTTGTTGAACAAACGTCTTCCTTTGTGAAACTCTGTTTGCCTTAACCCTTCTAACAATTTTTGTTTTTAAATTCAGTAGATATGTATTCTGTATTTTGTATAAAAGCACTCACATTTCCTTATGTCCAACCAATTATTTCTCTTTTCATCCACTCATTATTTCATCCCTCTGGGGTCAGCATGGTACAGTGAAAAGAGCACACATCTCACACATTTTAATACTTTGTATGTTTGGGTTTGAGTTGCACTACATTTTTAAATGTCATCACTACATTTTTACTTTAGGAATGTTTCAACTCTGAAATTCTGAGGATTTAATGAAGACATATATTTTGTACAAATTAAGTACCTCTTTCATGGTAAACACATGATAATGTCAAATATGTTTCTTTCTTTAGTTTCTAACAAAACTGTAAGATTTTGAAGTTAAAATTACAATCTGTGGTTTCTGTAGTATCCTATGCATTGGAGATTTTGAGTAAATGTTAATTTATTGTTTAGAGGTATTGGTGATACACTCTCCAGATTACTACATTATTTAAGCAATGTCTTCTGGGACCCTTCAATAGCAAGGTACATGCTAATCCCTGAAGACACAAGACAAATAAGGAACTGTTCCTCCTGGGGAGCCCAAATCCAAGAGGAAACAAAAGTCAAAAGCATCATAATAAATTGAGATTTGTATTGAAAATGAGCACCTTTGAGATGAAAGTAAAGTTGATCTGAATCTTAAGGCCAAGTGCAGAACCGGGCTGCAGGAACCAAGTCTTAATGAGGAGAAGTTTGCCAGGCACATAGAAAAGAGGAGCCGTATTCAGTAGAGACGAAAATAAAACAAAACAAACACACTAATAAAAAGAAGCAAGGAGAAACATTTCTCAGGGGATGTTGAGTGTTGAGGTAAAATTAAGATATGATCGATATATATGGAATAAAGTTGAAAAGTCAAGAAAAAGGCCTGAAACATCAAATTAAAAAGTTAGACTTTTTCACATAGAATAAGGACGACTTGGGATCGTGTAAGTATTGGAGTCACATAACCAAATGTGTGCTAAAATCGTAATGTTCAGACCACTGTGAAAAGCAAAGTAAGTGTAAGGACACCAAACAGTCTGAGAAGACAAAACAAGCAGAAAATGATATCCTTGGACAACTGATGGCAAAGTGTCTTTACCTTAAGTCTTATCTTGCAGTGTTTATCTATATTAGTTGGACTTTTCCATTTTGCATTTTTAGCAGTATTACAGAACGTCCAGCTATGATGCACTTTTTGCGAAAGGGAGCCTGAGTCAGTTTTACTTGAATGTCTTAGCTGTATTCTTACGCATGCACAAAGCATTTCTGCCCTTTATAATGTTGAGATAGATGTTAATATATACTAACAGAAAAAAAATGAATCTAGGTAGGAGAAAAATGAATTACATTGTGTTAAAGAAATCCTAATACATTCCTGATCAGGATAGCTAATCTTTTGTTTGTGCTATTGTACATGTAGACTGCACTTCTCTTTGTTAGATTTCAGTCTGCCGGAATGTAAACTTTTGATGTTTACCATTGCACCCACCCGTGGTAGGAGTGGGGATGGAAACTCCAAGGTGGAGATGAAGTGCGTGATTAAAGCAAATGGAGGAGGCAGAGTAGGCCTGAGGACAGGGGAGCATCTCTGGACATTGAAGTCCTAGGCCAGAGGCTAAAATCTCAGAGTGTAGGCCAAACAGGTGCAAATGCTTCTCAGCTCCCTGACACTAGCTGGAGAAGGGGAAGGGAAGATGTTTAACGAGTCCCGCACTCTGGTCCCAGGCCTTTCTTCATTTCACCCCAGTACCTCACAGTACTCTTTTGTGATGTCGAAATTACTATTTTTTTATGAGTCTTGAAATGTGTGTTCTCCTCTTAGGCCCTTAGAAAAACCCTAGCAGAAGATTTCAGTTATCAACTTGGAGGTGCTTTGAGAGACATTCTTTGCACAAAAGCTTTCAGGAAGGTAGAAAGATTTGGATGGCTCTAGAAGTTCTAGAGGAATCAGCAAGGTTATCATAAATAAGGATACCAGAAGCACTTCAGAGTACTGCAACATACAGGATCTGCTCTGAGATTATTCACACTCAGAAGATTGGGTTATGTGATCAATGTTTGTAAAAAGTATAAAATTAAAGCAATGTCTAAAGTTGGTGAATATATAAATAATATGTATGTCAGTATGAAGTATGTCTAGTAATACAGGAAAAGAGTCAAAATAGGTATTTTTTGGGGGGCCTTTTCGTTTTTTTTTTTTTTTCTTGTCGGTATCAAGGATGGAACTCATGACTGCCTGCTTGCAAGGAAGGTGCTTATGCCGTTGAGCTAAACCCCATCCCCAAAATAGCTATTAATTACTATGCCTGACACATATTTATCATGCACTGACTTATCTTAGTGAACTGAGTTAAATATTAAAGAAAGCATATACTGAGTGTTAGAAGAATCCAGGAGAAGTGGGATTGACTATAAAAAACTGTATCTTATGGTTGATTCTTGTTGGCCTCATACCCCTAAATTTTTCTATTTTTTTCTATTCTGCATCAGATTATTTTATAATCTGAAATTCCATGATAAGCAACTCATTTTTAAACATTCTCAAAAGAAATGAGAAAGGGGATAAATAAAGAAAAATAGAGAGTGAGAGTTGAGATGAGTCACGGGCATGGCCCTTAGTTTTCTAGGATGCACATCCTAGGAGGGAAAGTAGGCTAAGGCCAGAGATGTTTCTGAAGCATGAGAAACTTCATGGACCTGGACAGGAGTTGCCTTAGTGACAAAAGTCAGCCAAATCAGAGCAACTGCATCTTTCTCCCTGTGACCATCAGCTTATGATATTGACCCTTGATTCTGTCCCACCCATGACCAGGGAAAGAGGTTTTGGCATCTACATGTAGGGACCCCATAATACCAGAGCTGATGATCCCCACAGAACAGGAGACAAGACATGCATGGGCACATGGGTTGCTCAACTGTTCTGGCCAATGGTGCTAGGAGAGGGTCCGGTGAAAATTAGGCCTAAGATAAACTGCGTGATCATGAAGGTTTATTTCCCACACTGATTTTTCTCACACAGCAACACTTTCATGCTTCACAAACAGGAGCCACAGGTGGAGCCGCTGCTTTGCATGGTGCCTTCTTTGTCTCTCACCCACTCCGTTCCCCCCCCCCCACGAGATACCCTTCTTGGCCCTAATATGTCCCTTGGGACTCTCAGTTTTTCTTTTCAGTTCTGTTCTATTTTGTCAGAAATGCTGATTGAGGCTCAGTAAATTGATTTCCTGACCTCTACTGGATAGTGAACAGCCTTCTAGTGTAACTTGAATGTCTCAGTGAGCAATAAAGGGTTAAATAGGGTCACTGTGTCCTAACCACACCACATTGCAATCAGAGGCATCACATAGCAAACAGTGAGGACAGAAGAGGGTCCCCCACACCCCACTCCTGCTTCCTCCTTATCCTCCTCCTTAAGTTGAAAGGGAAGGAGACCGGGAAGAAAGAGAGAACTGAACAGAGAGTAAAACTAACCTGAACTGTGCCTTATCAAAGCTCTCTCAATCCAACTGCAAAATAATTCTTGCTTTACTTTACTTTTTTTTTTTTTTTAATCGGTACTGGGGATCGAACTCACGACTGCCTGCTTGCAACGCAAGGCACTTATGCCGCTGAGCTAAATCCCCAGCCCCATCTTGCTTTACTTTTCAAACTTACGGTTTTGTTCTGATAACACAAAACACACACACACACACACACACACACACACACACACACACACACTCACACACACACATTTAGACTTTGCAGCTACATTCAGGATTTTCTCTGCTAATCCTGGTGAACATACATAATACATTATGAAAGTTTGAATGGTGAATGGATTGAGACATGACTTTCTAGGAAACAGAAGAGACTAAATGACAATCTGATCATAACTGCATTTCATAGACACTATACTTCATTCTAATTCTTAACTTTTTTTCTTTCAAGGAAGTTTACAGGTTCGCTATCAGTTAAGCAAGGAACAAACCCATGTTTTCACCATTGATGTGGAGAACTTCGCCAACAGAAGGATGCACCACTTGCAGATTAACCGGGAAGGAAGAGAGCTGACCATTCAGGTACCATACTTTTCCTCTTTTCACTCTCTCAATGCCCTTGGCTCCTCAGTCAAGCTTTTTTGACATTTGTGCCTAAACCAAAAGAACAGCCAAATGCTTGGGTGCAGAGGTGTGTGGCATTTGATCTCAGTCTTGGACCAAGTAGAACAGCCACTCTCATGGGAAATGCTCCTCTCTTCAGGAGCCTCAGTATCACAGGGGGTCTTGTGAGAGATGCAAATTCTCAAGCCTCACACCATATCACAAGCATTTCTTTAGAAACTGGGACTGGGAAGCAGCAGGTAACCTCAGTGCCTGCTCCATTCAGTTCTCTCTGAATCCAAGAAAGTAGGAATTTCCAGTAGACTGCACCAGTCCTGTGGGGGAAGTAGGCACAGGTAGACAGAGCCCTGGGCAGGGCACAGGTCACATCTGAGCATGAACACTTACCTCTCAGAAGAGTTGCTAGGTGGAGAAGGGAGAGGAGAAGACTCAGGAAGAGGCTTCAAGTAAGCACAGCCAGAGCTGTCTAAGTCCAAGCGTGTGGTCTGGGTTCCTGGCAACCTCAGTGGTCTCTGTACAGAGGTCTAAAGCACACATGCATTTATCAAAATGGAAATAGGTAAGGCTTCCACTTGCCTTCAGTATCAAGCTTGGATAGATCATTTGAATTTGCCTAACGATCATCTGACGGTACTTTATTCTACCCATCCTCTCATTTCCACCCTGACAATTTTAAAATGATCCTACTATAAGGCAATTGTGATTCCATCTGCAAATTCAGCAAATGACTTTGTTTTCTTCTTTTTTAAAGAAATGTTGCTTAAGAAGAAAATATGTATTTCTGCCTGTCTTCTATTTCTTTAAATAAAAAAAAAAGTATGCTCTCTGCAGCACACTGCCCACCTGCCTACTCCTCTGTTTTTGGGCCCACTCTTCTCCATCACTGACTCTGCATTGTTCAGAGTCCTAGCTAAGGTCTGACCTCCTGCCAGGGGCTCAGACCGCAGAGCCCACTCACCAGCAATACCCTGACCTCCTGCTTTCTCCCTCTCTTGTTACTACTTTTTTTAAAAACTCTATTATAAGAGCTCCCAAAGAATGAAACAAGTGATTATTCCACACATTAACAACAAGACATCAAACAAGTAAACACAGAAATTTCAAGGGAAGAAATCTATTTTATACAGATTTCATTCACTGTCCCATTTTCTCCAGTATTTTGTTGCCCAAATCATGGCAATGTTGTCCATATGCTTGGCTTCCAAACAGCACTTCCCTCTCCTTACATCTACACCAACCACGTCTTTCCCATATGGCACCAAAATGTGTGCTTTTTAAGCACTGGTGGTGTTTCCTCAAAAAGCTTGTGGTCAAGGCTGGTTCCTACCCTCGGTGTCCTACCAGGGGCCACCAGCACCGTGATAATGGATCCCTGCTCTTGGATTTAACTTAGTCTTGCTTGCTTGCAGTACAACACCCTTGGCTGCTTTGTTCTGCCTCTGTTAGCTGACCAGTCTTATCTCTCTTGTGATTCAAACCGCTTCCCGCTGAAGTCCAGTGGGGCTATGTTTTAATGCCTTCACATCTGTAGTTGCGCCCCTCCATGCAAATGAAGTTTGCATGGCTCATCTCATTCAAGCTCCTGTTTTTGTTATTTATGTATTTATTTATTTATTTGGTACTGAGAATCCAACTCAAGACCTTGTGCTTTCCAGGCAGGCACTGATGCTGCTGAGCTATATCCCCAGCCCTAAGCTCATGTTTTTAGATATCATGTGTGTGCAGATGAATCTGTCTCCAATGCGTATTTAACCTTAACCCTCTCCTAATCTTGCAGCTTCTCTGCCTGACTTTAGTCCTATGATCTGCATCACCTGTATCTGCTTTACTTTTTTTCTCTGAGATTTTGATGCTATCTGACATCCAATAAGGTTTACCTATTTATCAGACCTTCGATACCATCTCCCTCCTCCAGAATGTCAGTCCATGACAGCCTGAAGTTTTGTCTGTTTTCATTCTTAAGGAATCCTTTCTTTATCACGAATTGGCTAACATATAATAGGCATTCAACAAATATTTGTGAACTAAACAATATACTCCCACTGAGCTTAAGATACTGTGTCTAGAATATTGAACTTGTGGCATGGAAAGGAAAGGACCAGCCCTTAGGTCTGGGCTCAGTGCGCTGTGATTTTCCAGTTCCACGCCCTCCCTGTCCTGGCTACATAGAAGGACATGTTTCATAGTGATGGGGCCCAGGCAGATCACAGAGCCTCAGCCAGTGCAGGGTGGAGAGATGGATTGGAAGAAGTCATAGGAGTAGTAGCAGTGGCACTGGTAACCATTTGGCTATGGAGTATGGACAAGTTAGTGTCACTATTAGTTATCTCAACTGGCTGGAATAATGGTCAGTCATTAGTACAGGTAGTTTTCAGGTCATCAGAGTCGAACAGGCTTACTTGGAGCAGTCATTCCAGGCACCAGCATGGAGAAAGTCCTCAGAGCACATATGTGTTGGAGCCAAATGACAGGATGCAAGGAAAGGGGACTGGGAGGCCTTTGTGTGGGTTTTGACTGAAGCCAAATGGGACAGCTGGGGAGTGTTCCTGTGTCCATTTGTACACGTTCCCACTGCTTTATCATTCCTGTCATCATTTCCAAAATCACAATTACAAATAGGAAACCAAGAGGGAAATAAGATGCATTTTCGTTCCTCCATCTGAGGAATTTCTGCCCTTCACTTATAGTTGGTAGTGCAAACCTGTCAGATGAACAGATGCTATTATCAGCCTACGACAGCAAAAGAAAAAGAGGCAAAGGTTTTAGTTTTCGAACTTTCATTGGCACAGGAACATGACACACTTGTCTCCCCCTCTGCCTGATCCCTCTCACCCCATCAGGATATTTTCACTTTCCTTCCCCTAAAATAAGCTCTTCGGATCCAATAGGGAATGGAGGGTTATCAACATATCCCCAGCCCCACTCATACCTGTGGACAATGTCCCAGGCCCTACTGCACCTGTGAGAGGAGAGGGAAGGCTGACACCGCGGTCCTCCATCATCCAGAGTACAGGCACTGAGGACAGAGTCCCTTGAAAACCGTACTCTCAAATTTCTACTCCTCCTCTGCTCTGTTCTTTGTGGCCATATACAGATCTTAAAGCCTGGGTCTACAGCCATGAGAGGGCTCTGCAATGGCCTTGGGAACTTGCTGGTCAGGTGCCAAGTGCACTAATTATAGAGGTAAAATGTGGTGTCCTGTTTTAAGATACTCTGGCAATAGTACCCAGATAGAGTCAGGTTAACCAAATACCAGCATAATACTGAGATATAAAGGAGAGGGTAGATAATTTCAGAGACTGCTTAGTTCCTTCCTTTATAAAATGTAGATCCTGAGTCTGAGAGAAGTATCCACTCAGGAAGACATGCTTGGATGCAAATTCATACTCTGTCACCTGTGCTGTGTGACTTCAAGACAAAGGACTCATTTTCTGGCCTCGATTCTACTTTCTACTAACATGTCTGTACCTATCTATCATCTATCTGTCTATCATTTATTTTTCTGTCTACCTATCTGTCTGTCTGTCTAATAATCTGTCTATGGCCTATTGCCCTGTCTACATAAGGATGAATATAATTAGACTTCGTTCTTACAGAGCTTATATGACTGCACATAGCTTGTTAAAAATCCAATAACAAATCAGACATGTGGGACTTGCTAAAAAAAAGGATTTTTATCCCCAATCTTCTTTGGGTTTTTCTGCCTTCTATTTAATAACTTGCCAGTGTCACAGACTATTCTAGATCTAGAGATAGACTAAACTTTTCTAAGGCAGGTTGTAGACTTTGGATACCCTAAAAGTGTAAAGTATAGTGTTACCTCTTACCACCTTAACAATTCTAATTATGGAGAAAAGCAATACAAAGAGTAAAACGGCTTTATGGGAATGGAATAAAATAATGTGCATCTTGCTGTCTACATCATTGATTTTTTTAGCCTATATTATAATCAACAAAATCTTAAAACAATCTATGTGTATCCCTTTATTGCACTCTCCCTCTGTGTGTGGTCTTTGTTTTTCAAACAGGCAACCTTGCACCTCAACTGTACTAGCACACAGGTGCACCCTTTCTGGGCCACGGCCAGTGCCAGCCACCCCAGCTTCCTCTCCCAGCTTTTACAGATGCTGGCCTTTCTGAAAGCTGTGTTAACTTAGCCTCATTTACCTTCTCTCCCTCTGCTACTGACCGGTGAAGGTGTGAAGGATCAAGCACGTTCTGGCAAAGCAAAACCCAGGACAAGAGTGACTGATGTACTGGGACAGTGGACTCTGGCATGTTTGGGGCTTCAGCAAGTGCCTGTCCAGGCAGCCACCTGAGAGCTGACTGTGTGGTGTGCAGCCTGTGGGGTGAGGAGGAGCAGAGCATGGGGAATCTCAGCTCCAGCCCCTCTCCCCAGGTCCCTGCCACTGCTCTTCCTTGGATTTCCCCTTCTTCCCAGGCAGAAAAGCCTGAGGGAAGGCTCCCTTCCCCCTGCTGGAAGATGCAGGTACAGAGAGATGACAGGAGGAGGCAGGCTGGAGCTCTGGCAAAAACAGAAGAAAGCTTCTCCAGGGCTAGAGCTGCATCCAAACTTGTGGGCACTGAAGTGGTGACCAACAGCACCGAAGACTGCTTGTGCCCAAAGTTGTGGAAGGAACTACGGACATCCTGGGTGTTACCATGAACTCTGTCTTTGTAGTCCCTCAGACAAAAGGGGAATCAATACAAGATGTTCATTTATGAACTCAACAAACTTTGCCAGCTGCTATTTCTAGCAGAAAATATGCATAGATAAAGAGGATGGTAGCCCTCAAAAAGTCGATAATAAAAGGGAGATATAAAGAGAGAGAAAGAGAGACATAAAAAGAGATATAAGAGATAAAAAGTGGAGGAGAGTGAGAGTGATGGGAGGGGAGGAAGAGTGACAACACTTTGGATGGGTCACTCCGCTCACATAGACCACGTGCCTACAGCCAATGTAATGTATGATTGTATGTCATAAGTTATAGAAAAATGACCACAACAAGAATACTAACACCAGCAATCATAACAGTAATGATAATAATCATAAGAATAAAGTGAAGAAAGGAAATTAAGAAAGGAAAGAGAGTAGTGGGAAGGAGGAGACCAAAAAATGAATCAAGCTATGTTACACACTGGCTCCTGATCCCTAAAATGAATATAAACTTCATGTACTGCAAATATGTACTAACACTGCTTCAAAAGAAATGGAGAAAAAGGTCAGCTATAACCTAAATAAAGCATCTGAAGCAGGTGGATCAAATGTCCTTAAAACAGCCCTGGCATGAAGTGGATATTGACTATCTACTGTGGAGATTTAGGAATTTTTTTAAAAAGTCTCCAGTTACTGAAATATGTAGCAAGCAAATCTGATGCCCTGTGTTGGGCTGTCATGTGACAAGGGTTACCACTTTGGTGATGTAGTGTGGCCTGGGTCAAGTTGTCCAACTCTGTGACTGCAGTTTCACCATTTGTGTTACTATTACCATATAATGTAGTAAAAATACATGAATACAAAAGAACAATAATAATAATAATAATAACAATAATAGGAACCATAAGACCTAGCTAATAGTACTCTAGAGAGAAACAGATTTGGAAGCAATGCACTAGTACCTATTAGTATCTTGTCCTCTGTGTCCTGTTGTTTGATAAGTGGCAACATGGGAAAGTATAGTTAGGTCCCCAAATAGTCACAAAGCATACCATTGTGTGCACAGGTCACTGCCATGACTTTTGTCAGAGGAGAAACGCCCACAGCACTGGCGGCCTCCTGAGGGCTGCCTTGAACCCTAGGATGTGCTAGGAGGGTGGGCAGAGAACAGGGAATTACTCCAGACCTGCTGCTCTGGAGCCTGCAGTGGGGGCACGGCCCTGTTCTTCAGGAGCACCTTGCAGAGGATGAGGCACCTCTGCAGGAAGCGCACCATGAGGATGCTGGAGGAGGGTCTGCAAGAAACTGGCTGGCCTGGACCAGAGAAACATGCATAACGGGGTGGGGGGGGTGGGTTGGCTGGAGAGCGCTGCCTAGGAATGAGGTATAGGGAACAGACAGACGGAACTGAATTTCCAGTGGATTCAGCAAGGAAGGACCCCTGAAGGACAGCCTGGAAACAGTCGTGGGGTACTGCTCGCTCACCCCTGCAGGGTGGGATGACCAGGGTATAGCCGCAGTAACTCCTCCCCACCTCTCCTTCCTGGAGCCAGGTGTTTGTCAAACTGCTACTCTTGCCCAGGAAATCCCTCCGTCAACACTTGAATGAGACCACATCAGGATTCTGAAGAGGAAGAAAATTGTGGTGGCCAAGACTGAAGGGGAGAAGGGAGGGACAGGAAGAGCCTCTGCTCTCCCACTGGGCACTGATCCCATGTGGCAGGTTTCCTTTGTTTCCTTTTGTGCAGCAGAGAATTGGGTGAGAAAATCTCCACTGAGAGATAAATGCCTGTCAAAGCTGTATAGAATTTCCCGGGGAGAAAATGCCTGTGAAAGCTCTCATTTCACAGCAAAGAAAGACAAAGGTGTTCTACTGCAGTGTGGGAGGCTCAGTGAGACATTTTTAAATTCTCCTGAGAAAAGATCCCAGAGTGAATTCTATAAGGTATGCATTTTCCCAATTATTTCCAGGTGGGAATTGCTTGGCCCTGTGTGGAGAACTTGGCTGATTGGCCTTTGCTTTCTCTTTTCTGGCAGATGGACCAGCAACTCCGGCTGAACTACAACTTCTCCCCTGAGGTCGAGTTCAGGACCGTAAGGTCGCTCATCCTGGGCAGGATCACAGGTCTGTTGCTTGGGCAATACCTTTCTGTTGCACTTTGTTAACACAAGTAAATAAGTCAACATCTCCTATTGGAATTTCTCAGGGTTTAAAACTGGCGCTTTTGCTCCTAGGGTATCCAAAATCTAGATTCAAGATTTATGACAGGAAATGTTTGGGCAGTGCATGTGTGGTAAGCATGGCTACTGCAGTTTATCTCTACTAGAGTAATTTGTGTGCAATTGAGAAAAGTAAAGTAGCAAAGAAAACAAGTAAAATAATAAACAGGCTGAAGCAGGAGAATCACAAGTTAGAGGCCTGGCTGGGAAACTTAGCAAGACTGTCTCAAAATAAGGGTGGAAGAGCATCTCAGTGAAAAGCTCTAACTTTAACCCAGGACCGGAAATAATGATGCTAGCATTAACAAAACGTTTTACTGGATTTTGCATTGTTTTAAAATCTGTATAATGCTTTACTTCATTTGACTTTTACTTAAACACAAAATAAAAATATAGACAATTGATAGTGTACTGAAGTCTATGGTAATAGAGGGTTTTCTTTTTTTCTCCTGAAAATTTGAGAGATTTTTACTTTCTATATCAGAGTATTTATTAAGGGCACAGAGGATTGAAAATTTTGTATGTTCTTGATGAGTTGAGTATATTTGTCCTACTTAATGATGTCCTTCCACTTTAATACCTTCTGGAGCTTAAACTGGTTTCATCATTAATACAGCTGTTACAGTTTTTCTTTGGTTACAATTTGCCTGTGTATCCTTTCTCATCTGTTCAATCTTTCTTTTACCTTTAAGCCTTATGTATTTAGTCTTGAAGACCACACAGCTGTCATGATACGATGCACAGCTTGGCCGTTTTTTGTCTTTTAGGTTGTCAGGTGCAACTCATTCCACGTTTTGAGGTTGCTAGTGTGATTGGACTTCTTTCTACCCCCTTGTTTTCAGTTTCCAAATATTCATGTGGCTCTGTTCGTGTACTTTGGTATTCTGTTACAAGACAGTCCACAAAAACTGCTAACTTTAGACATTTTAAGCAGGATTAGATTTAAAACAAGAAGCTAATTTCTTAACAAAATTGTTGTAGGTCTTACTGTGTGAGTTCTTATCATGGGCTTTTGAAATGACTTTTCAAGTGGCTTGATGGGAGATCTCTGGGCAACTACTGACTACCCACTGGTACCACCCAGGTCCAGGAGCCAATGTGGCCACAGGAGGGCAGGTCTGGTTGTCAGAGGCAGGAGCTCACTAAAGGATTGCAGCACAATATGCCTCATGCCACTGATTTCTGCCAGACAGTGGAAAAGTTGAAAAGTCAAGAAAATCAGCTGTTTCACTGTTTGTTTGTTTGTTTGTTTGTATACACAGAGGGTATATTTTGCAGAACATAATGTGAATCCAAAAGCTTTAACAAAGCAGTCTAGAAAATGTCAGTGTTCATTTCTCAAATGGCAGGTGAATGAACCAATCAATAGTAACGGGCCTTGGAGTTTATTTTAGTTTATTTCCTACCCGTTACTTGTTCCTAATTACAAGAGTTGTTATTTTTGGGTGAATACTCTTTATCTGATTAACTAATGTAGCCATTAGATTTTTGCTGGCCATTCTTTCATCTCAGACCTATTTTTTCCCAGGTTCAATTTCTTCATTTTCGAATTAAATGCTTTTTCTTGTGTGAAGGTCCCTTGAATGTAAATTTTTTTAAAAAAAAAATTATTTAAAGAGAAAAAAAAGCAAAACAGAAAAAAGAATAGCAACACTATAGAATTCCAAAAAAAAAAAAAAAAAAAAAAAAAAAAAAAAACCCTAAGAAATCACTAGTTGATAAATTACATACTGTCATCTTAAAAATAGTTGTTCAAGTTACAAAATTAAAGCATACAAAGTGGATATTCAAACAATGAGACTGAAAACAGTTCTGCTCAACAAAACTTAGTAATCCAATAAAACTTAGTAAAATGGTCATCTATCTTACACACTTAAACATACATGCAGTTATATTCTGTAGATACTTTCTTTTCCTCTCATTTTACAATAGCAATTACACATTTTGGGTTTTATTACTCCAACGTGGTACTTATAAATATGATTCTTATTTATTTTACTTATGAGGATAGTCTCAAATTGCCTCCAGTTACTTATGAAGGCCTCAAGATCATCCTTTTTATAGCTGAGTAATATTCTATTGTATATTAATACCACATCTTTTTCATCCACTCTGCAGTGGGGCATTTTGGTTCTTTCCAAGATTTAGCTACCGCAAATTGTGCTGCTGTCCCTATTTTACCTACATGCTGGGAAGATAATGTTGATTAACATGCAACTTAACATGAAGAATCCAGTTTGTTGGAGCCAATGGGCACTGGCTCCTACCTGGAGGAAGACACATCTTTCCTCACCTCTGCACTTGAGGATGTTGCCATGGGACCTTGAAAGGTCCAACTTAGCAAAACATACTCTGTGGGAGTCAGAAATGCCTGTCAGGGTGCTCCTCAACCCTTCCTGCAGGAAGGCTACTCTTACACACTCAGCAATGATTGTGTAGCTCTGCTCCTCTGGCACTATTGAACTATCTCTGGTCAGACTTTACCTCCTATAAGCTGCCTTGAAGACATCTAATCTTCTTTGAATTTTGTGCTTTCATTATCATTTGTTTGGCTACCGATTTCTTTTTAAAATATCTTACTTCATATTTTTATGCTCTTTGAGCCTATTAATTTGTTCATATGTACCTGTGTATCCAGGTTATAGGCATTATTCATCTGTCTATTCATTATTTCTCAAAAATTTTGATGTGTCAGATATTACTTCTTCCTTTCTCCTTTTACTCAATTATTCTAGATTTCAGTCAGATAAATCATAGGCCTTCTGATTCATAACTTAGAGCTCTTACCCTTTTTAAATAATATTTTTACTCTGTCAGAATACTTTGCATTCTAGCCAAAATACTTGATCCTATTTTCAACTTCATTGATTCTTTCTTTCTATATGCCTAATCCCTTTTTTATTTTTAGCGATTAATTTTTCATTGATGATTTTTTTTTTGATTTCTAAAAGTAACTTTGTGAGGTTTTAAAGATTAATTTTATTGGTACATTTTAGATATACGTAATGATCACATTTATCAGACGGAGTTTGTAGCTGTACATGGTGTATCCTGATTCTCCTTTTCCCGCATCCCTCTCCTCCCTTCAATGCCTCTTCCCCTCCTCATTTATAAAAACTATTTTCATTTTCTTCCTTCTAATCTTTTTTTCTTGTCCCTTCCTTCATTTCCCCCCTTCGTCCATTGTTCTCCTCCCTATTTGAATATTTTTTCTATTCCCTTATATATTTTGGTCCTAATTTCCCCTTTCAGTTTCTCACACCAGAGAAACTATGAATATTTAAACATGTGTGTCCAGTTTATTTCACTTGAGTGAAGATTACTTTTTTAGATTTTTTTTATTTTCGTTTCCTTCTTTTCCTCCTCCCTCCTCCTTAATTGTCCTTTCTTTTGAACAATTTCTTTGTATTTCACAATAATTGTTATTCATTTTGGTCCTTATTCACACATTTGTTTTTTTTTTTTTTAATAACAGAGAAATGAGGTGATATTCACATATGTTTGTCCAGTTTATCTCACTTCTTTGTTTCTGTGTAGTACCCCATTATATATATATATATATATATATATTATGTATAATATATATAATATAGACTATATATATATTATGTATAATATATACTTAATATATATAATATAGACTATATATATATTATGTATAATATATACTTAATATATATAATATAGACTATATATATATTATGTATAATATATACTTAATATATATAATATAGACTATATATATATATTATGTATAATATATACTTAATATATATAATATAGACTATATATATATATATTATGTATAATATATACTTAATATATATAATATAGACTATATATATATATATATCTATATATCTATATATAGATATATATATATATATATATATTCCATTTCTTGGTCAAAGGGCATTTGAGCTATTTCCAAGGGTTAGCTATTAAAATTGTGCTGCTATAAACATGGGTGTACATATATTGCTGTGATATAATGTTTTTATTGCATCAAATTGGACCTCTAATCCTAGCTTTCTTAAGAATCTTCAGATTGATTTCCACAATGGTTGTACCAGTCTATACTCTCACCAAAAGTGATATGTTTCTTTTTCTCCATAACCCTTCCGACATTTGTTATTGGTTGATTTTGTGATAGCCATTTTTTCTGGGGTGAAATCGTACCACATGTTGTATTAATTTGCATTTCCCAATGACCAGTGATGTTGAACATTTTTTCATATATTTATTTGCTATTTCTACTTCTAACTTTGGGAAGTGTGTAAATGGTATGGTCATCTCAATAGACACAGAAAATGAATTTGACAAAGTTCAACACCCACTCATGATAAAAAAAAAACCTGAATAAAATTGGAATACCTGGCCTTTATCTCAGTCTGATTAAGCCATCTGATATCTGAGAATCCATAAATCTGACAAACCAAAAGCCAACATCATACTAAATGGTCAAAAAACTGAAACCTTTCACTCTAACATCAAGAATAAGACAATGATGTACACTATTCCCACTTTTATTCAATATAATTCTATAAACATTATATAGGACAATTAGACATGAAAAATAAAAGAAATAAGGATTAAATGGAAGAGGTTAAATTATCATTATTTGCAGAGTACATGTTACTCTACATCGAGGACTCCAAAAACTGCACCAAAAGACTTGAAGATTTCATAACTTTGTTATTTTGAAAATATGCCTGTTCATCTAGGTAACACCTATTTATTTCATATTTATTTCCATCTTTCTATAACATTAAATATTTCCTTAATAGTTATTGCACATTTTGTGTCTGTTATTTCCATTATCTGCAATGAGTAGGTTCAAGTCTGATACTTTTCTTTTGCAATGTTCTTTTACAGTGTCTTATTTCTTTGTTCTGGGTATTAGGTGTGAGTGTGTACTTGCCAGTGTGCACACACACAATGTCCTTTTTAGTTGAAATGAGTTTGTGGAAGTTTGGAGGATCAAAAATTGGGAAGCTTCTCCCTCAGCAAGACTGTGTTTATCTTGCCTATACACAGAGATGCTACCCATTTAGGACAATACCAATATCTCTGTGCCTCTATCTCAGTCTCTGTCTGTCTCTCTCCATCTCTTTCTCTATGTGTGTGTGTGTGTGTGTCTCTCTCTAACTTTGAGTTCCAAACCTCAGTGAGATTAAGCCACTAACATTTCAACATAAAAGTTGTAGATAAGAAAATAATATATGATGGCCAGGTATGGCAGTGGGTGCCTATAATCCCAGATTCTTTGGAGACAAAAACAAGAGAGCAACACATATGAGACAAGGCAGGATGATTTAGTGAGAGACCCTATCTCAAAACGAAAGAAAAAACTTGAAGTGCTGAGCTATCCCTCAGCAGTAGAGTGCTTGTCTGTGTAGGGCCCTAGGTTTGATCCTTAGTAATGATAATACATATATGTTCCTTAATGTTACATGACTTTATTATTTGGTACATTTTTATTTTCTGTATTTTTTTCAATTTAGAATGACATCAAAAGTGGGCACGCATTTTGCTTTGCTTATTTCATATTGTATTAAGTGACTCTTTTTTCCTGATTCAGTTTTCTTTAGCTTCAGGTGAAAATCTTAGGGTCAATGTCTTCTTTTCACAAAGGCTCAAGGCTTTAAATTCCCCTCTTACTGAGAATGGCTCAGTTATTTCTTGGCAGTGAAACTAACACTGGTTTATGGCAGGCTGTCTTGGCTTCACCCACGCTCTTGAAAAGTCCTCAAATATTTAATATTCTTCTTTGTTTCCTGAAGCTCAGCAAAGTATCAAAAAAAAAAATGCTTGCTGATTTTCATTAAACAGAATTAAACTTTAGAAAGTCCGTCGTATTAAGATTGTCCTATGCTACTGTTTTGGTTTCTGGACATCTGTGTCCAGATGTACCCCCTCCCCCAAAGCCTCATGTGGTTATAGTGTCTTTTCTTCAGAGGCAGCTCAGTCTAGAGTGGGTGATTGATTTGTTGTGCAATGGTGCGGTTGGAGGTGCTGGCCTTAAGGGTGGGTAGTTGCTGGATCAGTTCCCTGATGGATTGGTACTGCCCTTGCTCTGGTAGCTGGATACAATATTAGAGACAGTCTTGTTCTGTCCTGTTGTTTTTGCTGTCTTCTGCTGCCAGTAATGGTTTCACCTCTACTATGTCACCCTTCATTGGAACCAGTGGATTATGGACTGAAACTTCTACAGACTGTGAGCTAAGTAAACTTTTCTCACTTTAACATTGGGTGTAAGGTATTTTGTCTTAGCAATGAGAAGTAAATAAAACACTACCAAAAATGAAAAGCAAAACAAAAAAGTAAAAGCACTACCTACGTGTATCTTGGGTCACTGAATCTTTATTTCAGGTTACAAGAGCTTTGGGAGGAGAGATGATTAGAGCTCTCTCCCTACAAAGTCAAGACCTTTTTGGTGGCATCTGCTCTGTGTAATGAAGCTCTCATAACATACTCTCTCTCAATTTTTAAAATTGCTTTGTGAATCTTGACACTGTGTATGACAATTCTAAGACCTTCCACTCTTGAGTTAAGCCAATGCCAGGTCTATTAGAATGATACTTTGAAGCAATGAACTGCATAGTTGAGGGCAAAAAAAATTTTTTTCCGGATGCTTTGTGATACTCAGCTAGGGAAGAGCTAGATTGGAAGCATACTCAATAAAATTTCTTCTGTTCTGCCTCAAAACAAGGTTCTTTTCCATTCACACTGCTGTTACATAGGGGGATTTGCTGTCATGATTAAGACTAATAATCTGGTCTCTTACTGGACATGAATACTTATTCACCTATTAGGGAGAGATACTAGTACTGGGGAAAATTTTTTTCACATTAGCTTATCATAATTTTTATTCTGAATCATTCTCTCAGGCAGAGCCTCACTACACAGTCTAAGCCTCATTCCACCTGTCAGCAGTCCCAGGACCACAGGCACCTAACAGTAATATTTCCTCTTGCACGTATCAAAACTCTTACTGAACTGTGAGTTCTGGGTTTCGAACGTGGATTTATTTTTCGCACCTGTCCATTAAGTTTTTAGAAGTCCACAAGTTAAGACAAAAACGCACACAAGTACCAAAAGAATTTTAAAATCCCAAAGTAAAAGAACCAAATACATGAATCAGAGAGTAGAGTAAGACTAGAGAGAACAGGGAATGATGGTGCTGACATGGATGCATAGAACTGAGGCAAATCTCACCCAACCCTTTAATGTTAGAAAAAGGACATTTTTGACCCTGCGTTAAGGATTTGCAAACATTTTCTGAGTAAATATTAAAGGGAATGCATATATAAAATCTCAGTTTTCTTCTGTATCATTAATAACAGTCTATTGTGAAAGAAAATCAAGTTCAATCATTTTTCTTTTTGTAGGAGGAAAAGAAATTCACTGTTTTACAGGATAGTGATTGAGTACATGCTGCACCAACCCAGGAGCTTCACACACAGTGATAAATACAACTGCTTCAGTCCTGCAGGGATCCCACAGCGTAGAGAGGAGTGCAGAGAATGAGAGATGCCATCTCCTGCACCAAAACGGGGTCGTCAGTTCTCTGTGAAGGTTGATGCTCAAGTACGACAAATCAGGGAGGTTGATAAGGCTACACTGTTTTTTGTTGTTTATTTATATTATTTTACTTTCAAAAGATATTAGCTGTTGATTTTGGCCTATGTAGCATCAATGAGATTAAGACAAAGTAACACAAAGCAAAAAAAAAAAAAGAAAACACATTATTTAGGAAGTTATCCATTTGACAAAAGCATTTGCTCCTGAAAAATGACTTGATTCATTTAGAAGCATAAGTGGGCATTCTCCAGATTCAAAAAGAGTATGACGTATAATTTGTTTCTAAGCCAATAACTTGTCCCTATGGTAATAGTATGGACAGGAAGATAGATTTGAGCTCAGAAAGCTCCAGGCCTAGAATGGGATGGATCTCTGTGGTAGACAGCTTGCCTAGCATTCATCAGACCTGCATTCCAGCTCTGAAAGAAAAAAAAAAAATGTACCTTTTTACCCTTTGTTATTTTTCCTTGTTGTAGTCTGCTGAAATATATCAATACATTTTATTATAAAATGAAAACTACTATTTTTGTTGCAATTCAAATTTCAAGGATTGTCTTTTTTTCCTGAGAGGATATTTCTTATTGATATAGAGATTTAGGATGTGCTTACTTTCAAAATGTCAAAGCATGTTAAGGTTAGGCAGTGGGGAATTGTATTCACACTTACAAAGTATAAGTACTACATAGTCTGAAGGGAAATTAAGTGATGACTTAAATTCAAACCATACTGGTAGCATTTTTAGTTTATATAGTTTGCATTTATAGATTCCTTGCCTACTTACTGGTTTGACAGGCCAAGCCTCACACCTGGAAGAGACATTGTTTTTTGTTCTGATGGCGTTTTGCCCGTGTAGCTTCCAGCATTCACTTGGCCCTGATAGCTGCAGAGAAATTGGAAGAGTTCCTTCTCAATCTGCACAAACCTGGAAAGTGCAGTGCAGTTTGTCAGTACTACACATATGCTTTTGGTCTGGTTAGGGTAAGTGAGTTCTAAATAGATCTGTTAAATAACAAGGTTGTTAAATTCCCCCCAGTTCTTCAGGTTTGAAGTTCAAACCTACTCTGCCTTCTGCAATATCACAGTATTTTTGAAGGAATATTTTGAATGTGCTTGTTTTAAGGAATTTGTCTAGCATCTTATTGACAATGAATTATGGCTGCCATTTTTGGGTAACAGAAGAATTAACATAGAAATAAAAAGCGGCTACTGAAGAATTCTCATTTTGGAAGACTATACTCTAATTCCTTTTTGATTTTGTGCACAGTTATCTTTTCTTGTGATTCAAATTTGGTGAATTCAATATTGAACTGAGAAATAAAATCATGGAGTAAAAGATGCTTAGCTTTGTAGGGATGAATTGACCCATGTTTATACCTTCCCTATAATTATTTGCCATGAAGCCTTGGAGAATTTCTCTAATATTTTGTAGTTCCTCACTGGTAAATGAGAAAAGGGACCTGAGTGCATTCAATTCATGTGGCCAGTGAGGAGCCTCTGGGACACTGTATGCTAAGCACTTACTACTTAGTATATACTCAAACAATGATAGTTCCTGAATTTTGAAGACTGTGGGAACATAAAGGAGATGCAATTAACTTTTGAACATGCATAGAGAACTGATTGTAGAGAGAACTTCCATAAAATCATGGAACAGTATTCTGAAGGAGCAGTTACGAACCTTAGTGGCTTGTGAAGCAATGGTGTGACTCCCTAGCAACTAGCACTGACCCAGGGCCTTATCAACTTCATGCCAGATTAACTAGTGATGACAGAAAGGAATGCCATGCTCTGTGACACTGGCAGGTTCAAGATGCAGGGTTCTGCTGCACTGTGCTTGCTCTGTTATGTAGGAGAGATGGGGATGATGATTTTAGGGGCTGGGCTTGGAATTGTGTACAGTCCCAGGCATGGACTATGCTTGTGCATCAGTAGTCCAAGTGTGCAGCCGCGGAAGATAATAATCAAGAGACGCACTTTTAAGAAATTTTTGTGGTATAAGTTTATAGTTTCCCAAGTGACTCCCATAAAAATTATTTCATTTTAAACACACCAGTTTCTTCAGTAATATTTCACTTTATTTATGGCCATACCTAGTTCTTTAGTAAACAAAAATACCTCTAAGCCAGCCACAAACTCCTTCTGGCTTAAACTGTAGTAACTTGTGTGATCGTCCTATATTTTCCCTAAATAATTCTTAATGATACTGTTTCACTGTGCAATAAAATATTTCAGATTCATTAATCTGATCTGCCCTCTGCATTATGAAGTGAATGATGTGTTTTAAAGCACAGTGACATATGACAGTTCAGTAAACTTTCTAGCTTCCCAAATACATGTCTTGTATTTTCTTCTCTACAGATAACTAGTGATAAACTGCAACTGGGTTATGTGCTGTGTTTGTTATTAGTTCTTTTAAAAATAAGGAACCATGTTTTTCCCCATGGAGAAACTTAGTAGATAATTTACTTTCTCTTCATGCAACTGAAATATGTGTTATCTTCTGATTTAAAACACAAATTTATTTTCCTGTCTTCAATGAATCACTTCATGATAGAAGCTCAGGCCTCCTCTGTACTCTGCTGTTCTGGAAATGTCTTTTTCCTAAGTGTAGAAACATTCTTTGAAAAAGTATGCCTTTTAGTTACTCATTTGATGTCATCACTTGTCTGCTCTGTGTATACCAGTGAGTGAAAACGAATGAAGCAAAAGCATTGATGAGATGCTGTTTCCCAATGCACATTCTCCTTACCTGGGAGGAGCAGTTACCAGCCTCCTCTCTTATTGGAGAATTGTCCCTGCAAAGAAGCACAGACTTCCACATCCGTACTTGGTGTGTTCCCAAAGGAGGTTTGGTGTGGTTGAGCGGAAAATGTGTGTCATGCATGTTATTTCTAGAGTTCAAATTAATTCTCTTCCAGTCACAATTATTGAGCATTATTATGGGCCAGACAATACTGTAGGCCACATAGACAATAAAAACACCTGAACAGCCGCTAGTCTAAAAATCCTGTTTAATTTAAATTTATTTCTTTCTAAAGAATGTCACCAGGATGATGTTAGGCATATTACAGTCGTTCAAGGATTTGGAATATCTTTTGTTGGCTGTGATAACTTCAAGACCCCCTCAACAAAATCATAGAATAACTAATAATCAGATAATATATAGTATACTAATATTGAAATTATTATAAAACTGCTAGTTATTTACTAGTATTGCTCAATGCTATATTGCTTGTCAAAACTTGTTTCTTGTGTGAGCTACTTTTTTTCCCTCACAATTACTGAGGAAGGTAAGCAGATGAGAAAATGGAGTCTGAGAGGTTAAGTGACTTAGCCAGAGTTACAAACCTAGTAGTTGGTAAAGCAGGCATTGAATTGTAGACACTGAATGTGATTTCATACTTGCAATCCTGTCACAATTTGGTTTTTGAGGAATGACTCGAGTTACTCTGCATGGAACACACTTGCTTTTCCTCCTGAGGGCTCAGCTCGACATACTCAGAGAGAAGAAAGAGCAGGACTCTCAGCATGGTGGGGGTGCAGCATACTTCTCATAAGTCAGGTTTTGGAACCATCACTAGATTCATATCATTACTGCACTGCTCAATAACGTGGCTGAGACAAATTGCTTTATTCTCCGCACTTCCACCTGCCATTGGAATGTAAGTGTATGTTATTGTAAGAATTGTTATGTACAAATTTGGGGGATAATACAGATGGTAGGCTTGACATCTAACAAAGATCCAATAAAGTATTACCATGGCAATTATGATGACAATATTGATTAGGTGATGATAAAGAAGCCTCCTCATCCAACATTTTCCTTTTGAGAACAGCACTGGACTCTAATCCTGCTTTAGAGTTGCATGTACTCCCCAGGGGAAAGAGAATTTGGTTTCTGGCTTCTTACACAGTGAAACTTGAGCTTCATTTTCTGTCCTGCAGTGGGGGATTGAGTGGATAGGGCAATGTTTGTTTTAGCCTCCAATTGATAATTAGTAATTAATGGAATCAGGGCTGTGGAGAATATTGTTTCTGATGAAAGCACCTTAAAGAACTAAATCAGGCTAATCTCACCCGATATTATTTAAATAGATTCTCAATAGTACAGCTGCCTCTGATGGGCATCACAGTGTGATACTTGAGGGTCAACTGAGTTTAAGACCATGAGTTCTGAATTTTCCAGATGGCTAGTACACTTCTCAGCATGGGATCATCAAGTTCCAATATAGGTCCTGAGCCTTATTTATGGATTTATCCTCCTTGCCAACACTATAATATTAATAGGCATGTAGTAAGTCTGCCTTGTACTTACTAAAAGACAAAAGTGTGTGTGCATGTACACACATGCCCTTAAGAACCAGAGAAAAGGTAATGTCACATAGTAATGGGCCCAGTACCTGCACCCATGCCACTGGCTTTCAGATAATGATCTGCAGGTTCCCTGTGCAGCATCTTCATTTTCTCAGTAATATTTGGCAGTAAGGTAAGAAATGAATGAATCTGAAATCA